AGTCAATAATTATGGTAAACATGGTACTACAAAATATGTTCTCTAGCAACATTAATTCAATCAATAAAACCACAAAACAAATAAATCGAGATGATAAAATTTTTTTAAATCAGGGGCAAAAATCACGAGACTTCATAGTCCGATAAAAAGCTTTACTATATTTGATGTTCAACTACAAGATCACAATATCTAGTCAACAACAAGCATACAATTCCAACAAGACTAAAAACAAATAATCTTTAACAAAAGGAGAGAAAATAAAGAATATCACCAAAAATACAACCTACAATAAATAAAGGATTCTTGACATTACAAGACTCGTATGAAAAATTCCATCTTACAAAAGCAAGAACTCTAAGTCGTTCAGTTGTCGTAAGAAAATTAGCTTAATCGAACCACATACAAACCTCCGACCGAAGAGTTGGTCACATATGCTAAAACTTTGTTCTCTTTCTTCCACTTGAAGCAATATTTTTTTATATGACCTTTCTTACCACAATGACGACACTCAATATTCTTGTATTTAGATCTTGACTTGCTTCGATTTTTTCTCTACTCTTTTCATCTTTGTCTCTATTTCTTCCCCTACTTTCGATAACCAAAACCTCATAATGTGATGTAGAACCCTAAGACCTTCTTCTAACCTCTTCATTTAAAACACTGCTCTTAGCCAAATCCAAAGTAATAATACATTGTGGAGCAGAATTAATGAGTGAAACCCGAAAAGTATCATAAGAGTTCAGTAGAGTAGCAAGCAACCAAAGTCCTAAAATCTCGTTATCAAATTTAACATTCATATCAAGCAACTGATTCATCACACTTTGAAACTCACTAATATTATCATCTATAGACGTTCCTTCTTTGTATCTCAACGCCATCATTTTCTTAAGCACAAACAACTTATTATTGCTCAACCTCGAAGCATACAAACTTTCAAGCTTTTTCCATAATGTGTGAGCATGTGTCTCTTGATCAATGTGGTTGTAAACATTTCTTCAATAAATTGTCGAATAAAGTCACACACCTGCTGATGCTCAAATTCCTATTCCTCATCAACTTTCGATTCAAGTTTTTGAGTAGCAAAGACAGGAAGATGCATAGACTTCACAAACAATAAGTCTTTCATTTTATTCCTCCAAAGTTGAAAATTCGTATCATCCAACATAATCATCTTGCTCATATTAATTTCCATAATTATCTGATACAATAATCAAGTTATGATACCAATTTGTTGAGAAAGAAACAAAGCAACCAAAACTTGAGGAAGCACAACCGATGTTCTTTCTCTTCCAATAACTTAAGTCGATAATTATGACAAGCACAATGTTACAAAGTACGTTCTCTAGCAACACTAATTCAACTAATGTAACTACAAAATAAATAAATCGAGACACCCAATATTTTTATGTGGAAAACCCTTTAAATCAAAGATAAAACTTACGAGACTTTAGGGTCTGATAATTTTTTTCCTATAATCAATGCTCATCTACAAGATCACAATATCCAACCAACAATGAACATACAACTCCAACAACACTAACAACAAGTAATCTTTTGTGAAAATGAGAAAAAAAATAAAGAATATCATAAAAAAGACAGTCTGCTGTAAAATAAGGATTTCAGATACTACATGATTCAGATGAAAAATCAGAGCGTACAAAAATAAGAATCCCAAATCGTTTAACTTTGTCAAAAAATTAACCCAGTCGAAGTATGAATAGAGTTCCGATCAAAGAGTTGATCACAGCTGCTCAAAGCTTCAAAAACTGTTTTCTCCTCCCATATTTTCTCTCAAACCCAGCTGTCTCTCTCTCTATTTCAAATCTGATTTTGAACCCAGAAATATAGCTGCCCACACCTCACGCACAAGCCAAGAACCAATTGTCTTTTTACTAAGGTCAAAAAGGAATTAAATGTGTCAGTGAAATTAAATATGGGAACAACCCAATTAAATTAGTTCACTGGTGGTGGGATTCCCACATACTGGGACCCATACTCAACATTTGAATTCCATTACATTTGGGTAAGCTATATAAAAAGTCATTAATGTTCGATTAAATTTTTGTTTTTTCTACTGAAATTTTAAAAGTAATATATTAATCACTAACATTATTGATTTATAATATATTGATCGCTAGTATTATCGATTTGTAACAAAATTATCATTAATGTTATTGATTTGTAATAAAATGGTCACTCTACTGTTATATCCGTTATATTTTTGATATGATAACATTAATAAAAAAGTTAATATTTAATTTTACCCCTAAGCTTCTACTAAAACATCAAGTAAGTCTCTGAACAATGGTTTTATATTTAACTTACCCTAAAAACTTTCTAATTTTCAAGTTTTTTTTCAAATACCTCACCACCTTCATTGTATTCCAACAACCCTAAACACTCGAGTTTTAAACCAAACAACCATAAGCATTTCTTATTATAGAAAAACAGATCTAAAACATCAATGACTTGTGTTGTTCGAAACTCCGGCGGGCTTTGCCCTTTTCAAAGTCTGAGATGAAGGGAATCTAAATAAAGTCGAGGTAATTTTCTCTCCATATCTTGTGAGAATTAATGAGAAGTTACTTTCTATAGTTACTGTGGGAAAAAAGTACATTGTATTAGAATTTTGTGATTTTGTTATTATAGGACTTGTCCAATAAATTCTTGGCTCCTGACTCTGCAAGAAAAGTTATCACCTTTTTGGATTTTGATCACATTTGTTCTCCTTTGAATATCATAGCTTTTGGACTACTTTAACCATGGAGCTGATCCATTTGCTTTTGTATTAGAATTATCAGTTTCTTGTCAACTTGATTGAGCTGTATCTTTTTTCTTTGGGACAGGGTGGGAAAATGTTCGATTGTAGAAATCTATCAAATGTTTGAATATATATATAGGGTCGTTTGGTTTAAAAATTGAGTGTTTAGGGTTGTTTGGAATATAGTGGAGGTGGTGAGGTGTTTTAAAAAAATTGAAAATTAGAAAGTTGTTGGGGGTAAATTATATATAAAATCATTGTTCAAAGACTTATTTGATATTTCAATTGTAGGGTAAAACTAAATATTAATATTTTTGTTTACGTTGTCACGTCATCAATTTAACGAAGATGACGGTGGAGTGATCATTTTATTATAAATCGATAATGTTAGTGACTATTTTATTACAAGCGATAACACTAGTGACTAATATATAACTTTTAAAACTTCAATGGGGAAACGAAAACTTAATCAAACATAAAAAAAAATACTACTATAATTGGAAGAAATTGTGTTTCCTTGGTTGATTATGAATTTTGAAGTTGGAATTTGTCACATTTCGAATTGTGGATTAAAAGTGTATATGAGATTTATTCAGTTAATTAGAGGCTTAATTTATACTTTTGAGGTTTCAAATACCCAAAATTTGAAATTTGGGGATCCAATTGAAGTGAAATAAAAAAATTTAAAGAATTAAATCAAATAAATACATAACCTAGTGACTAAATTGAAAAGGGTAAGAATCATTTTTAACGAATAATCTAAGCACATATCTTTCAATTAAGCCTTTTAAAAAATATTAGATATCGAATTACACCTAATTTTTTTAATATACTAATTACATAAAAAATCAATTACCAAATTGCATCACTAAAAAATATTTAATTATACGAAAAAAAATTAAATATCACATTACACATAAATATTAAAATTAAATACCAAAAACCCATTAAGTGACTTTAGTAGTAATATTCTTCTTAGAAGTTTTGGGTTCAATCGGTTGCATCTATAAGGTGTGTGCACATTGTCAATATGTTAAGAAAATTCTGAACATATACTATCTTTTAATAACATAGATTATAAAAAAGGATAAACTACACATTTAATACTTAAACTATTACTTTTTTTTTCTTTTATTACCTAAACTTTATTTTTTTTAAATCATACCTAACTTTTAGTTTATGTTTCATTTTGTTCGTTAAAAATTTAACGAAACTCTTGTACAAATTAAGTAATTATGTTAAAAAAATTAAACTTCAATGATTAAAATAGGACTGATAATATAGTTAAGTGATGAATGATGTATGATGTAATTTACCCATAAAAAATTGTCATGTTAATTTTTTAACGGTAAAATACCAAAACGAAACAAAAAGTAAATGTTAGATATTAAAAGTTTATATTAAAAAATAATAAAAGTAATAATTTAGATGCAAACATGTAGTTTACCTTAAAAAAATTAGATAGCAAAATTTATATTTACCCTTGAATTTATTCAACGTGTAAAACCTTTTGAATTTCTTTTTCTTTTTTCTAAGTAAAACCTTTTGAATTTCTAGTTCTCCATACACCCTACTAGTAATTCAAGTTGAAATTTCAAATATACCATATGAGTAGGGATGAGATGATAAAAAAAAACTGAACTCGTCGGGAAAAGTCGAAAATCAAATTAAACGAGTCGAGTTCGGGGATGATAAACGGGGACGGAGAAAAACCGAATGTTTTAAACGGGGACGAGTTTGATAATCCTCGCCCCGATTACTCGAATACCCGCCTCGATATCCAGCCTGATAAATATTAAAAATAATTATTATATATATATAATATTAATAAATTTAATTTAAATAAAAAATATATATAATATTTATATATTTAATTTAAATATATATACCCAGCCTGATACCCATTTAAATAATCGTTTATGCTAAACGAAAATATCCGTTTCCCCGTTGTTTTTCCTGATTACCTGATGGGAATCCCGTTTAAATCCTGCGGTTTTTTTAAACGAGGACGGATACGAATTTTTTAAACGAGAACGGGGACGAGAGGACCAATCCCAGGATCGAAACCGCCCCGTTGACATCCGGGTGCACCTCTGAGCTCGACGGTATATTTTCTCTTATGCTTCACCCGTCGGAAGTACTATAGCAATTAACCTCAAAAGATCTTAGCGTTTGGAGTTTGCAGAAAAAATGGTTTAAATTTAAATTTAATTTAATAGAATCCAATAGGTAGTAAACAATGATTTGGGCTTTGCTTCCCGTCGATCCTTCTTCAGGCAAGTAAAGCTTAATTGAAGTGCTACTATTGCTTCATTTCTGCATTGCATTATTTTCAATACTGAAACCCTATTCCATCTGGGCAGTTGAAGAACTAGGAGAAGAAGATAAGTACTAAATTTTCAAGAAGGGAACGTATTATGTGGGTAGAAAAGGTGATCTAATTTGCTTCCTTTCACCTTCTTTCTGTGAGGAAATTGTTAAATGCTATTTTTTATTTTTGCTCTCCTTTCCTTTGTGTTTTGATTTGTTGAAGGGTGTGATGTCATCATTCACAAAGACAAGGGCGTGTCCAGAATCCATGCTCACATAATGGTTGATGAAATGACTCAATCATCTCAAGTTACAATCAAAGATTTGTCTAAGTACGGGACATTCATTAACAAGAATCTCACTTCTAACAAGAAAGTTCATCAATTTCCTAATAAACAGACCTCTTTAGAAGATGGGGACCTTCTTTCTTTTGGAACTGGAAATGCAACCTTAAGGTTCTGCCAATTTAATGATTTCTTTATTTCAATGAATTCAGTGATTTCTTACCAATCGACTAAATCCTCTTGCCCCTTGTATCTGTTCAGATTCTCTTATGCACCGCTAGTATTCTACATCTGCTGTGCTGAGGCCTCCCAGATGAGTCATTATCTTCAAGACAAAGTTTCATCCATTGGTTAGTTAAAATCTATCATTTTGGCTTCAATCTTCACAAAGCTTTTTGTCTCATAATTTCACCTTTAAAACTTGTTGTATTTTCTTTTAATCCTTTTATCCACATTCAGAAAATTTTAATGTTGCCTCTAGAATTAAGAGAGAAACAAAAATTGATACTTAAACTTGATGGAACCTGAACCTGGAGTTCTTTTGTTCTACCCTCAAGCATTTTGCTATCATGCAAATATGATCTGGGTGTTTGAAAAGATTGTCATTATTTCCTTGTTTGGTATGAGCAATTGTTATTATTTCCCTGTTTGATATGAACAATTGATATTATTTCCTTGTTTGATATGAGCAATAAACAAATAGAAATCTACACAGATAATCAACTTCTCTCAAAACTAGCTGCACTGAGGTTGAAATTAATTGTGGAATTTATAACAGTCAACTGAAGGAACATGTTTTCAAAGGAAAAAATTGCTAAAAGAATAGGATTGTATTCATGTGGTTATCCTTGATAAGACCACTATTTGAGTTTTAGAGTTCGACTCCTTAGGCTTTACCAAATAATGTGGGCATTGCTTTACTTGGATGGCTGTTCGGCTGCCAGGAAAAAAAAGATATTGTTCTCTAGGAAATAGGGTGGAGTTGTGCAAGTCTTAGAATCATAATCTTCAGTTCTTTACCTTAGGAAATAGGGTAGAGTGGTGAAAGTCTTAGAATCATAATCTTCAATTCTTTACCTTTTGTATGTAGAAATTTGATTATTGATTTTGCATTAGGCACTGTTTGCTCTCAGAGGAGAGGAAATTTCTTTCTGTTATAACTCCAATTTTATTCTTTATTATTATTTTTTTGGCTAACTCTATCATTTCGATTTCATGAAGGTGCTCGTCTTATTCATGCCTACAATGAAGATTGTACTCATGTGATTGTTGATCAACACATGCCCCTGCAAAGGGATCTACTTGATGCAATTGTGGCTAAGAAACCGCTTTTACATACTAGTTGGCTTGAGGTATAGATTGTTAAAATGCCCCCTTATCTCCTTTAATGGTAATGGTGATGTTAAGTTGTTTAAGCAAAACTAATATTTATGTAGGCGTGTAATTCTGATTTGATGAGAACACTTAATTACGAAATACCATACATTTTTCATAAATCTCTTTGTTTGAAACCTTTAAGAGTTGTGCTTATTTTTGTTCTTGATGTTGTCTATTGAGACACTATTAGCTGACTGCAAGATTCCCACACTCCAAACATCTGGGATCTTATTCCTACCAAATGTTTACTGAATTATTGATAACAATTTGAGATTTTGTTGCAATTCAAGCTGCTGAATCTAATTAGAAACTTCAGTCCTTTCATATCACAAAGGTTTAAGAATGAGGTACTTCGTTCTTTACTGTACAACATTTTCAACCTTGAAGTTTCATAGAAGTTAGAGGTTGCTCCTAAAGTCTCTATTTTGATGAAAGGCAAGGTTGAAATGCTTAGAATTTGGGAGAAAGGAAATTATTTTAAGACAACCCAGAAATAATTAAGAAACACTACCCAAGTATTTAAGGAAAGAGAGAACTAAAGGAAAAAATTGTTGTGCCTGCCTCCGAGTCTGATATATTTTTTTGATAGAAGTAGGAGGCCTCATTAAAACCCTCCCTCATAGTAGTACCATTCCCTAAGGAAAGAACCGACCAGCGGAAGGAGGAAAAGAGTACCTCAGTATATTAAAAATAAACAGGTTACATAAGACTTAAAAATACACCAAATACATATGTTCTCAAAAAAAAAAAAACAACTAAAAAAGACTTACAATCACCCAATCCCCTCCTTCACTAACTTATCAGCCTCATAATTGCAACCCCTAGTGATCAACCTAACTATAAACGGCTTAGCTGATACAATAGACAAAATGTCCTTAACTAGATTACTAAAGAAAATAAGAGCTGAAGGAGGAGATTTAATCCACTCCACTGCAGACTTGCAATCGCTTTCAACAATCAGTCTACCCTCCGAAACCCACTCTGAAGAGATAAAGATCTCGATGCCTTTTTTGATGGCTTTCAATTCTGCTAAAGGGGGAGGGCCAGGACCCACACTTTCGGAAAAAGAAAGGAGAGTAGAGCGATTCCAATCTCTTAAAATACCACCGATTCCTCCTACCATCCCGTCAAAACTATCAGTTCCATCCACATTCATCTTAAAGAAATCAACTGGAGGGGGACTCCAACAAAGCAAAGGTCTTTGAGTCTGATATCATCCTTTTACATTTTTCTACTAGTCAACCAGCTAGGAAAAAATCCTTGAGAAGGTGCTTATTTCCTGTATTTTCTCAATACTCCATGGGTTATATAAATGTATCTAACAGCTTGAATGATCAGAGCGTTTAGTGATGGTTTCTCCACCTCTTCTGGACATTTTTAATATGTTTGGCTAGGTCTTGAATTAGAGCCCTTTTTATGTTTTTGTTTCAAATGGATATAAAAGTCTATGAATCAAAGCAGCTTATTTAATTAATATTTATAAATTGTTCTATATTTTTGTGTCTTGAATAGAGAAGCCGAACTTATTTAAGTAATGCTAGTAAATTGTTCTATTTTTTTCAAGGAAAATTGTAAATTAAGCTTCAATAAAATCTCAATTATGCAAAATGTTAATTTAATTAAAAAAATATCATTACACATTAGATTATTAGCATATTATTTGTTGAGTGGCACTAAGGTTCATTGTATATACTTGTTCTTCATGAATGGTCACTTTGTAAAGACATATTTAGGGCTAAAATACTGAAACGGAATGTAGTAAACATCCTCTTAACTCAAATGGATTTTTTTTTCCTTGTATTAATTTTAAGAAATGATGGTACATGATGAGGTAAGTTTTCAGTTACCTGAAGAACTAAAATATCCTGGAAAAATGCAAAAAAGTGAAAGAAAATATGAAGGCTTAAGCTTTTGTTAGCTAGAAATCAAGTAAAGTGTTTAACCTGCCAAGATGATGCATTAAGATTATAATTTTCCCAATCTATTATTATCAAATGATGTGGAGTGTAATATTTGCTTCCATAGCTAATACAAGTAGATTGATTGTGGAGTGCCTTGCTCTTTTTGTAGAGTCAAGAATGTTTTTGTTGATAAAATTAATACAACTGTTTTTCTTAAATTTTTTTGGGTGAAATTCAAACTGTTGATGTTTACTTATTATCTTTAATTGTACTTACCTCTGTACTTTGTTTAGCTTGTAGCTGACAAAAGTATCCACACTGAGTTTCCTGACTGCCTATCGTAAGTATTATTTCGGTGTTGTACCTTTTGGGTTAGTTTTACACATGAAGTTTTCCTCTATAACAGTGCTGATTTAGGTTTTCACCCTCAGCCATGTTCCAAAAATAATGGTTGATGGAGTATTTGTTGAAGTTGCAGACCCAAAAACGCGAGAAAACTGTTTGGGAGGATACACCTTTCTGTTAGAATCTTCACATGTGGTAATATATTTTCATATTACCACATGTGTCCACAGTCCAGAGTGCGGAAGGTAAAGAAGAAAGTTGGTGCGATTTATATATTCATCTTTTGCTTTGGTGGTTTTTCACTGGTTCTCACATGCACTTGTTGATGTTGGGTGCTTACCACCTGTGATAAATCTTTGATTTTTTCGGTATCCATTTTATATAGGTTTTCTGGACAGTTTGCTGCTATATTAGCTTATTTTAAAATTGAGGATGTGACACATATGTATATTGTATCAATTAAAGGAATAAATTAGTGAATCAAGAAACTGAAGTTGTATGCTTCCTCCTAAATAGTGATAATAGAAATTCTTCCTTGTGATTCTTTTTTGCAACTGAAAAGATGTCAGAAACTGTATATTTGAAGAGTAAAGAATGGTTCCTATCTATAGTACACAATCTACTCTAATTAGGGAAACAAACTAAATATATATAACTAATAAAATCTCTCCAAAAACTTTCTGTTTCTCCTAAAAGACTGCCGTTAATTTCTCCTAAATCTGTACTAATCAAATCCTTGATTACAAGGGAATAGATTAGTGAATCAAGTCCCTATATTTAAGGATTTACTTTCACGATTTTCTTACCCTTCCTTTCCAGCTGGTGAATGGGTATTCTCTGTTCACAACTTGGATACAATAGTTTGGAAAACTGAGCAACTGAACCCTTCGGTAAAAACATCAGCAAGTTTCCATGTGTGTACACCTATCCTCTCCAAGTCTCTTTGATAAACCATATATCAACTTCAGTGTGCTTTGTCTGGTCATGTTGTACTGGGTTGTCAGCATTGCTGATTTAGATCTGTTGTTGCAATATTCATTTGGCCACAGCCTTAATTATAAATTCTTAAAGAATGATCTTTAATCTTAGTAGTTCACACATACCTTGAGCTATTGCCCGAAATTCAGCCTCTCGACTTGGTGGACTATTATACTTTGCCTTGTACTTTTCCATGTCTCAAGGTTCCCACCGAGGAAGGTGCAATTTCTTGAGGTTGAGCTTCTATCAACAATTGTGATGCAGGAGCATAATTTTTTACTATTTTATTTTATTATTTCAGTTTTATTTCATTCAAGTATTTGATATTTTGGATAGCTTAGAGTATTAGTTTTCATGAGGGTTAAGTTTAGGGTTAAGAATAAAACTTTACTTGTAACGAAAGTAACTTTGTTTGCAAGAAAGTTTATTGTAAATAAGCTGTAATAGATTTACAGCCACAGTTAATCTTATTATCATCTTTGAATTAATAAAGAAAAACTAGTGGCTTTTAAACCCTATTTTTTTTTCTTGAGTTCCAACTTCTTTCAAACTCATTTTCAGCCTTGTTCCTTTTGATTTACTGCTGTTTTCCCCCTTAACCCCATCAATTTGATCTAGCACAATCAACATCAGTGTATGCGTCACGTGTGAATCCTTCATTTCATCTAAGGTATTACTTTGACATTCTAGAGTACACTCTGAGATGCTTGTAGATGGGCTTAGGATTATGCATAATCTTCTTCAATAAACTCCTTTAGAACCACGGCATCATCAAAGATTTTATTTTTATCACTTGCTAGTGATTCAATTCTTGCCACAAGGATTTCAATTGGCTTGCATATGCACTGACCATTTTATTCCCTTATTTTGCTTCCCTGGTTATCACCTTGACCTTTGTATACTTTAGTGGTTTCTCTGGTTTTGGAATAGATTTGCTGATGGCATTTCATATGTCCTTGGAAGTAGGCAAAAGAACACACGTACATATATATGAAATCATGGAATTCCACAACCACACCATGATCATATAATCTTCTTCATCCCATGCTTCTAACTTAGGATCCCAGTGTAGGACCTATTCCATGAGATGGTTAATCTCCCATATTCAACACAATCCGGATGAGCTGAAATCACTTATGTAATTATTTTCATCTAGCCTGTAAGAGGCTTGAATATTTTGCAATTCTATTAGTTGTTGGGCTTGGATTATCCCTTTCGATTGTGTTGTAGTAGTTTCCCCAATTTTGACATATTGGATGATAACTAATCAATGATGATGTCCAAAAGGTTTCACAATGTAAGAGAGGACAATAAAAGAAAATTGACTTTGAAGGTCACAAAGCTTCACAAAATACGTAGCAATGAAGGTCAAAATTAAACTCCTAATAATATTCCTAAAGCTCTGATATTATGTTCTGAATTGAAAAGAGAAATTATATCTTGCATATTTGTTGAATAAGAGTGGTCTATTTTTATTGCACGTAACCCAGTTTAATTAGGGAAAAATAACTAAATACATAATCGATAAAATATTTCCAAAAAATAAGCTATTTCTCCTAAAAATCTACTAATTTCTCTTTAAATATTCCCTAAATCTAATCTCTGATTACAAGGAATAAATCAATGAATAAAATCTCTATATCCTAGGGATTTGTTTCACTGTTCTCCCACAAATTTTCTTGTCACTTGTGAGCTCTTAAAGATTTAGTGTTCACAACTTTATTGTTATAAAAGCTCATGCATGTAGTTGGCTCCATCAGGTCTAAAGTTTTATTGAGTTACCATGTGTTCCATCTTTATTTCAAAATTTGAAATGCATGTCCTGACCTACATATCCTTTTTATCCTATGCCAACGTTTATTGTTGAATCTCTTTGGATTAATATAATTAGTGAAAGAAAAGTTTGTAACCTTTAATGTTTGTTCCTAAGACTAATTGGTATCTAGGAACTTTGAACAAAAAATGTCAGCTATAGTTTTTTATGTTTCATTGTTTTGTGCAGTACAATTTTGGGGATAGATTGCAGTCGCTACTAGAAGTGAGTGGCTCAAGGGTTATCTGGGTTAAAGACATTTGTTCAAATAATCAGGTACCTTTCATATTTCATGTTTTCTTTCCAACAAGCCATTAGTTGTATTGGCATCATATTATATGTTTGCCTTGAAAAACTTACATAAAATCATTGTTGTGACATAAGTATTCTTTATGGCTTGTTTCATTGTATTTGTTGTTGTTGTTGTTGTTGTTGTATTGTACAAATTCATATTCATTTATGTTGTGGTTTAGCATAGAATATCAATATTGTTTTGTAACACCTAGACTTAAAAAGCTTAAGCATCTATCACCTTTTGCAGAAGTTTTAGCCTAGAATTTTGTACTTTTGTTCTTTCAATCATGCTAGTGGTTAGATTCCCATAACCTTGAACAAAGAGTTCGGAGGTAAACATAGATTTGATCATTTCAACCTGTTGTAATCTAGGAGAATAAATCGAGAGAGAAGGAAAGAATAATGGAGTTAATGTAAAAAAAATAATTATTTAAGTAGGAGATTACAAAAGTTTAAATAAATTGAGCAGATGGCTTCTAATATGACTTTTCTACTAAAGCTAAACTTCTATCTAGATTACAAAGACTCATAAAATACTCCTAAAACAAATGAGATTACTACTACTACACGGCTATTTTTGACACTCCCCCTCAAGTTGGTGAGTGGTTGTGTTGTATCACTTGAAGGTTTTGCTCTTGTCATCACATGTTGGTGGACTGGAGAGCATGAGAAGGTTCTTCGATGGTGGCTTCCATCTCCAATGCCTTCTTTGGATCCTGACAAGACCTTGCTAGTCATTTGCTATCGAGATTGACGTTTTTGGTTTCCGCTATTCGTTAGTGGTGTTGACGGTTTTGGCATTTTGGTACAGTGAAGGTTTTTTGTTGATTTTCAATTGTTGGACACCACTTAAGTTCATGCATATATTGAGACCATTTTTTACGAAAATTGGGTAGAGTATTATTTTGTTTCAGATCACTGGGCATCAATTAATTGGGTCCAAGTATCTCAACTAGAGCAAAATATTGCGTATCTATCTACCTACGAAGTATAGATAAGGATGATCGCTTGACCGATGATCCTCCAACTAATGAAATTCGAAAGCTCTGGTTGAGGGAGGATGTCAATTAATCATGTAGATCCAAAATTCGATTGAGGATGAGGTAATCGGTTTAATCATTCATTGTGATTATGTTAAAGAATTGATGGAGTATTTGAAATTCCTATATTCTGGAAAAGGGAATTTATCTCGTATGTATAAGGTATGTAAATCCTTTTATCGTGTTGAGAATGAGGGTAAATCTCCCACAACCCATTTTATGGAATTCAAGAGAATTAATGAAGAGCTGAATGTGCTGTTGTCATTTAGTATTGATGCCAAAGTGTTTCAAACTCAACGAGAACAAATAACCAATTATGAGTTTAATGGCAGTCTTCCATCATAAGCCTAAACTACCAAGTCTTAGATCTTGTCCAGTTTTGGTATCACGTCTCTAAGATGTGTTTAATAGGATACTTTGCATTGAGAATTTTGCACCTGTTCGTTACCCTAGTATTCTAATTGCTAAAGGAGGAGAGAATGATGTTGGAAGGGAAAATAATACGGGCAGGAAATTTTGCTAGTAACAACGAAATTGTTTCTTTTTATTGCAAGGAACTTGATCAAACAAAGTGATATAACAAGAAATTGTAGAATCCCGGTAAGAGAGTTTAGACTGCCAATGTTGCTACTTCTAGCTATTTTGCAGTCAGTTGAGGAGTATGCTAATTTTCTCAATATCAAGATCCATTGAAAGACTAATCTGGTCAGTGCCCTTCTTGAGACAAGAAGAACATGCTTCTTCTTCTCAAACAAACAATCATTGGTTCTAGCGTCACAGATCACGACAGTTAATCCTCGATCAAATGGTCATTGATTCAAGAAAACACCATTCTTCTTGCAGATCACCTCCCTTATACCGAGGGAAGATGAAGAGTGGCTAGTCTATTAGTTAACATCTCCCAATACTTTTTTTGACCACTGAAGATGTTCCAATGTTGGTGGTTCCTCTGTAGAGCAAATAGTTGTTAGTGTTCCTTTGACTTTAGAAGAACCATCGGTTCTTCAAGTCTACTTTAGGATAAGAAAGGCTGATGATACATGTTCCTTTATATGCCAATTGACCTTCTCAAAGATAATGTCAATTTTATTTCCTATGATTCTTTTCACTTAAATCTTTAATTGCCTATCTAGACTTCATTTACGTTCCTACAACAACTAAATCAACGTTATCTAATCCTAGTGCTATTAAGCTATGTCTGAGGATATAATGCTTTTTAATGACAATTATACGGGAGTTTATTGGGTTTTCCTAAAGGAAATAAGACAATTGGATGCAAATGGGTCTTCTCTACCCAAGTAAATCTAGATGGTTCGGTGACGAGACTTATATCTCGACTTGTTGGTTCACGTGGAGAGGGAGAAAGAAGATTCCTACAGGAAAAGTAGTGAGCCTGCATGTACTTTTGTGGGCTCGAAGGATTATTATAATGATTTCCCCATGTTGGATGGTCGGGTTGAGTCAAGGGTGGTGGAGGATGGGATTCAAGATGGCCTTTCTTACAACTGCGCATACATAAATCCAAAGGGTAACGCTAGGCAGTTCATGAGACCTAAAGAGGGTTTGGGCAACAAATATAGATCTGACCAATTTTTTCAAGAGAATTTTACATCTCCCAAAAGAAAGTATAGGGGTTACCGAAGCAAGAGACATCAGAGTAAGGTGCAGTGGGAGGAAGGGGTGTCTGTTTTTGATGGCAGATTCAAATATAATTCTGACTTTCCAGCATTGGGGCAGTCTCAACAGAAGGATGCGATCGATTCCTTGCATTTTGGGAAAGAATTGGGTTGTGAGTCTAATGGCTCAGTAGTGTATCTGATTTCGGAAGACTATGGTGGGGGAAGGAGTAGAAGTTTCAGGTGATCTGAATCATGCTTATTGTTTGGAGCTGGAAGTTCGGATGGTTTTAGCCGACAAGACGAGTTAATGTGGTGGAAAGGCGGCTATGTGCGTGTTTTTTGTATTCTTATCATGAGAAAGCTAAGTGGCTTTTGAGTTACAAGTTGGCTTCTATGGTTTTAGTCAGCTGTTATCCTTGGCTTTTATTATGGTTGTTTTGTTTTGTTTGGGCGTCTATTGGGCCACGTTTAGGCTTTGAGTTTGACCAGTCTGTTTTTTAGGCTGTTGTTGTTGCTTTGTTGGATTAGGCTGGTTCTGATAGGATTGTTTGAGGTTGTTTTTGGCATTTTGTTTATATTGGGGGTGGCTCCCTGGTTGTACCGTGTATTTTCTATGGTTAATGAAATCTTAAGGCACTCTTTTCCTCTTCCCACTGATTAAGGAGCTTCTCTATAAGCTCCTTTAATCATGAAGGAGGTTTTTAACGAGACCTTCAATTCCTATAAAAAAAAAACTTATGGTCTAGATTATTCAGACACTTCCTGTCTTGTGGCCGATTTCTTTGTTTTTCTCGTCTATTTGTTTGCTTAGCTGAATCTTACAATTGGTCCCAACTCCCAACCCAGTTAGATATTAACAATGCTTTTATCCATGGTGATCTCTGGGAAAAGGTCTATAAGGAGTAACGATATAGATTTATTGCTAGGGGAGTATCATAGGATTTTTATTTGAAGAAATCTTTGTATGAATTGAAATAGAGTCCTAGTGCTTGATTTGAAAAGTTCAGCGAGATGATTCAAGAGTTCGGGCTGAAAAAGAGTAAATGTTACCCTTATTTCTTTCATAGATAATCAGTAACTGACATTATTCCCCTTGTCGTATATGTTGATGGTATTGTTATAATAGGGGATGATGTAGGAATCACGTCTCTCAAGTCCTTCTTGTGCACTAGTTTTCACACGAAAGACTAAGGTCAATTGAATTATATTTGGATAGAAGTAATGAGGAGCAAGGCGAGAATCTCTCTCTTAGAGGAAGTATGTCTTGTAGAGTTTGAAAATTTGACAGCGATATTACTCCAATAATTTCCAATGTGCATCTTACGATCATATACTACTCTTTGAAGGAAGTCGATCTATAATTTAAGTGGAAATAAGAACCACCTCTCCCTAATATTACTTTGGTATGTTTTGATGAAATAAGAGGACTCTGATGGAGTTTAGGAGATGACAATTTTTCACTCAACGACCCCGTTTTGTTAGGATGTGTTAACTTAGGAAGGCTCATGAATAATTACCTCTTTTTGAAAGAAGGGAGATAGAACTTGATTAAAATAATATTTGGCATTGTCAAATTTCAATTGTTTTAAATTAATTTGAATCATCATAAGAAATGTGAGAACAACACGACTGACATTGGATTTGTTTTTTAACAAGGAAATCCAAGAGACTGAGTACAATCATCAATAAACAAAATAAATCACCTAGAACCAGATATGTTTTGGACAGGCGATGGTTCTCAGATATCATTATGAATTTAAGGAAATGAGAGAACATCTTTATTCTAGTGAGAAACGATGCCCGGGTTTGTTTGGCATTCTCACAAAAGTCACAATGGAAAGTACCAATATATAACCCCTTAAACAAAGATGGAATCGTAATTATCAAAACTAAAAAGGGAGGGTGTCCTAGATAAAAATGGTCCAACCAAAATACATCCTTATTTTGTGGAATAAAAGAAAGACAGACAAAGTACGCTGAGTGACATTGGATTGGTCAGTGTCTCCCGGATATAGAGTTCAGCCTTTGCTCTAACATGTTCAATACTCCTCGAATCCTGGTCTTGAAATTCATAATAAGAGGGGTAAAATGTAACAGGACAGTGTAAGTCTTTTGCAAGCATGTGAATAGAAACAAAATTAGTAGATAAGTTAGGAACATGGAGAACACTTTGAAGGACAAGAGTGAGTGTGATAGAAATCTTTCCTATACCGGCTACAGTGGTTTCGTTACCATCTGAACAATATTTTTTTTATTACTAGGACAGGGTGTGTAAGTGGTGAACATGTTTGATGTATGGGTCATCCTGTCAGTGCTCCCAAGT